AAACATTATTCATTTGTGCGAATACATGTCATGAAAAAATTTCAAGTTTAAATATATTTAAGCATGAATTTAGTCTAGATTTAAATCTTTTTATAAAGAGTTTCTATTTTTTAATAAGTAATCAATTAGCAGACTATTTTATTATGTTTCATGAACCATTGTTATAAAAGTGCTAGAATATATAACAAATTTTATAATTAATTTAGTTGCATTACACTAATTATGAACTACCAGTTCTATATTCGTTTTAATAAAAAGTAAAATTATTTTATTATCAAATCAGATAATTATTTTGCTATTATCAAATCAGATAATCAGAGCAAAAGAATACTAAATTAATAAAAAAGGTAATAATTTAGGTACTTTCGATAAGTTAAGTTAGGGTTGATTAGAAGGTGGTTAAGGATAGAGTTAGTTTATTGTAGTGTTAGTATTGATGATAGTAAGAGTATTTGGTGAACTTAGAAAATCATAGGGTAGATAAAACGTTGAAAGTTCATGAGCAAGGCACTGAAACAGTGTGTAGTCGGCATCTTCCTTTCTTCTCCGCAAATCGAAAGTTTCATGGGATTTCGATATGTGCGTGAGTGTAGCGAGGAAGTAGCAGCAACAGCATTACAGCAGCAGTAAGCAGCAGCAGATATTTGTAATCGAGACAGCGCAGCTGATTGATTTAAGGAGCATCGTTGATCTTCTTCAACAATTACGGCTGATCACTGTAATTGCACCGCAGGGTAGGTGCCCCTTCCTATTATTGCGTGACAAAATACTTCCGACAGTATTTTGTCTATCGCGAGCCTAATTTTTTGTATTCACGCCCAGCGTTAGATTTGGCGGCAATTTTTGAATTCTCTCTCTCTCTCTCTCTCTCTCTCACCGAATTATTAATAATTGTGAATAATTATTAATAATTGTGAATCCTATTCGCGTGCGTTAGTCTTTCGGCCCATAAAAGACTGTAGTTTTTATTAATTAAACTTTGTTAATTTTATTCGCCGTTTACGTCATTTTGTTTCCTATTAACTTTATAGATCTATAAAGGCTTAAGTTTTAATCCGATTTCGTCTAGGGGATTAGGTAGATTAAGCATTAGGTCACTCATACATGAAATAGATCGAGTGTCACAAGTCAAGTGACTTAAGGCGGATTCAACTCGGTTGGAAAGAAGACACTGTAACGAAAGTATCAAACGTAAAGGCGAATACACGTATAACCATACGTGTTTAACGGAGCGGCGGATAGCTCTGCATCGTGGGAGTTTGTGCTTCAATAAATTTCCTATGTTGTTAGTTAACTACCCCGTTACATCTTTAAAAAAACGTTACTAGCTTTTCTAGCAGAGTATTTTCTAGGAAAATATAAAAAAATCTTTATGAAATTATACCAAATAGTAAAGAATCACTACTCATACTAAATACATATGTCTGCAAATATTACATCACCAACACAATACTCGTAAAAAAAATATATTTATCTAATTTTTTTGTTACAAAAGAAATATTGCTGATTACTTATTATGCACGGTGATCGAAAAAATCTTAAGGTACTCGTCAAAATAAATCCATTAAAAAACAATACTACCAGGGCAGCTAAAATTGGGTATGTAGAAAGTTTAGGAAAGATGGATGCCGCGTTTGCATATAGTGGAGAATAAACTCAACTAAATATTATAAGAATAACTAACTAAATAGAACTAAACTAAATATTTTGGCGCATTTTCGTCATAATCCTGAGAAGTTTCTGCACCGATACATAACTGTCAATGAAACACGGATACACTACTAGACTTTAGAAACAAAGGAACAGTCAAAATAGTAGACTATTAAAAGTGAATAGGTTCTGACGATGGCGGCAAGGTCATGACCATGGTCTTTTGGGATGCACGTGGCATTATCTATATCGATTAGTTGGAAGATGAAAAAGAATAATAGAATAGTATTATGCATCGTTGTTGAATCGGTTGAACAAAAAAATCTAGGGAAAATAACCTTATTTCAAAAAGAAAATGATCCTCTTTCATCAAGATGCACGGGTGCATATCTGCACAGTTTCGATGGTCACAATTATGGAAATTATATTAAATTAAATTAATTAATTAAAAGATTAAGTTAAATTAAATTAAAATTGTGAAATTAAACGTCGAATTGTTACAACATCCACCGTATTTACCAGATTTAATCCCTAGTGACTTTTTTTTATTTCCAAACTTGAAAAAATGACTACATATCAAACTTGGCCTAATGAAGCAATTCGTCAAAGCGTTGGACAAGGATGTAGAATGTTTTGAACATTTAGCAGAGAAGTTTCCGGACATACGTGATGACAAATTAAAAGTGTTTTCGATGGTCCACAAATTCGCACTTTACTCAGAGATAAAGACTTTTTCAAAAAAATGAACCCTACAGAGTTGTCTGCACGGTCAAGTTTCAAAAAAGTCGTAGAAAATTTCTTGGCAAATCCAAAAACTGAAGATTATGAAACTTCGATTGATGATTTATTGAAAAACTTTAGAGTTAAGTTGTTTAATGAATTTAATGTTGCACATTCTATATTCTCATCTTGATTATTTTTTAGAAAACCTCGAAGACTATAGCGAAGACTAGGTGGACGGTTTCATCAAGATATCAATGAAATGGAACGCTGGTATCAAGAAATATGAGATATAAATATGATGACAGATTTTTGCTGGAAGCTTACAAAAGAAAACGAGTCAGAAATGCAAAAAAGGTTGTGAAGACAGAAGGATCTTTTGAAGACAGAAGAGTCCCTTAAAAAAGAATAAAAGTATAAATTCTTACTATTTATAGTGTCCCGAAACATTGTAGTAAACATAATCATTACCGTAATTTGTATAAAAGTATTGTATGGCTAACGTTCTTTCTATATTTGTATAAAAGTGTCATAGATTATTTACATATCAAACGTGATTGGAGTATTCTTCGAGCAATTTTAACGCTGGATTTAGATTCAGTGACCTTTGAAACGTACGAGTGTGATTTTTTATCTAGGATATATGTTTTCCTGGAAATGATTTCAAGCTGACCTTGGTCTAGACTCAGTGGCATCGAGTGAACCTCGGATTGAGTGACTCTCAATACGTATGAAAATAGTTACGTAGTTCTTTGCAGGCATATTTTTGTATTTTTGCAATCATGAAACTAATTCTCGAGATACGAGGGTCGTTTGAAAGTCCGTGCAAAAATAAAAACTGCTTGATTTTTTAAAATAAATCTTTTTTATTTTTTAACATAGTCTCCTTTTAGGCTTATACACTTCATCCAACGCTGCTCTAGTTTGTTAATCCCTTCCAAATAATAGGATTTGTCCAAGTCTGTAAAATAGGCATTCGTTTCTGCAATCACCTCCTCGTTTGAATAAAATCTTTTCCCCACCAGCTATTTTTTCATATTAGGGAACAAATAGTAGTCCAACGGAGCCAAGTCTGGAGAATAGGGGGGATGTGAAACGAGTTGGAACCCTATCTTCATGAGTTTTGCGGCCACAACTGCTGAGGCGTGAGCTCGTGCATTGTCGTGGTGGAAGAGGACTTTTTTGTGGGCCAATCGTGGACGTTTCTCTAGCAACTCGGTTTTCAAACGATTCAATAACGATGAATAATATTCGCCTGTAATGGTTTTACCCTTTTGCAGATAGTCGATGAAGATTATTCCTTGCGAATTCCAAAAGACAGTCGCCATAACCTTCCCGGCCGAAGGAATTGTCTTCGCCTTTTTCGGAGCAGATTCCCCCTTGGTAACCAATTGTTTAGACTATTCTTTGGTCTCAAGATTGTAGTGATGTATTCATATTTCATCTACAGTGATGAAACGATGCTTAAAATCTTGCGGATTTTGCTGAAACAGCTGCAAACCATTCTTGCAACATTTTACACGATCTCGTTTTTGGTCAATCGTGAGCAATCGCGGCACCCATCTAGCGGATAGCTTTTTCATGTCCAAATGTTGGTGCAAAATATTATGTACCCGTTCGCTCGAGATGCCTACAGTAATAGCAATCTCACGCACCTTTACTCTTCTGTCACTCATCACCATATCATAGATTTTATCAATGATTTCTGAAGTGGTAAGCTCAACAGGGCGTCCAGAACGTTCAGCGTCTTTTGTGCTTATATGGCCACTTCGAAAATTTTGAAACCACTTATAAACCATTCTAATCGAAGGTGCACAATCGCCATTATGTTTATCAAGCTTCTGTTTAATCTCCTGAGGCGTTTTGTCTTTGATAAAGTAATGTTTAATCAACCACTCGATTTCTTTGATTGAAAGGAATATAAAACGCAAAGTAATTGGCCAATCTGGTTGAAACTTGGTGTGTGTCCTTCCAAGATATGCCACTAACTGAAAATAACCTTGATACGCACTAGTAGCGCCATCTCTCTGACTTTGCACGGACTTTTCAAACGTCCCTCGTATCAATATACAGAGTTCTTGAAATGATACTCGAGGTCATTATAAAAAAAAATAAAAAATATTGTATCTTACCGTAAAATTTTCCGTCTTTTCAGAATTTGCAGTCAAAAGTTAACTTTTTGCATAGTATGCATATTTGACCTTGTTATGACTTTAATTCAGACATGATGAGATCAGACTTTAGATTCAGATTGAGCGACTCTCAAACCCGTAGAAACGCTAGGTCTATTCTTTTAAACGACTTTTTCCTGAATTCAACCTTCAAATTCCCTTGAATCTGACGTACTGGGTTCAAAGTGACTGCGAATTTGGATTAAGCATGTCAAAATATATGAAAATTTATGTATTTCGTTTTTTATACAGACCACTTTTTTTTGTGTGCCTGTGTTATTTGCGTTGATTTTAAATGTAATTTGGCTGGTAATTATCTTATCTTGTGGTTTTAGAAAATGATAAAATCAGAATAATAAATTCAAAAAATTAATAACATCCCAGAATCCTAACATAACTGATGATTTTTAGGACTAAGATCATTAAAATTATTATTTTATTAATAATTTATTTTTGCAGGTTTCAATGTGGAAACTGTTGAATATAAGAACATAAGTTTTACAGTTTGGGATGTTGGTGGTCAGGATAAAATAAGACCTTTATGGCGACATTATTTTCAAAACACACAAGTAAGTATCTATTAATAACAAGATAATTATGACATTTAGGTTACCTCCTTAAATGTGTCTTCCTTCTCCATCAAAAAGTACTTATCTTGTTAATATTTTATTGTTTCATCCACTGATATAAATATTTTCAATGTGGTTGTACGGATTCTTGATAACATTATACAGTTATATTACTTATTCAAGTTGAAAGTTAATCATAAACTAACGGTCTAACGTAATTAGATAGCAATATAATTTATAGATTGCTTAGTCATTTATTCTCCAGTCCTTTGCTGATTTTCCTGGAACTCTCATTATCCAGACTATTCTTGGTTCTCCATGGATTCTCTTTCGAAATGTACTTGTTTATTGAGTTTCTTTCATTCGATTTAGTTATCGATGAGATTAGAAGGCTTCTTCTATAAATTTTCCGGAAAAGTCCCGTTCATAGGTATTCTGGACATTCACTACTTCAAACTACAGTCTTAAATTCTTACTCGTATATCCATTACTTTTTTTACATTTTTTGGTGGACCGCTTACAGGAAGATATTCAGTTCTTTCATTTTAAGACCCAGGTGGAGATAATAGTTCCTGTAATCCTATATTTGTGTGACTCCTATCAGAAGACGGAAGATTTGTTTGTGATCTATGCTTGTCCTTATCCCAGGATGGGAGTTAGGGTACACCAAGTTCGATAAACCTTGTCAACTCTAAGTGCTGCACCTTCAAAAGAAATAAAAAAAGTATTTTTTAAAATAAATATGTCCGAAATGAAATGACAGAAAAATATGAAACTAAGTGCATTCAAAAGCCAAGGGGCTATAGAATTGAAAAAATTAATCCGATAAAAAAATGCTAATTATGACTTTGACACCGGGAGTGAAAGTCAGATTTATCTGAAAAAAAATATTATTGTAATTTGAATGATTATAAATAAATAATATTATTTAAGTTTTATAAATTACAACTTACCAATATTTTTTTATACACATATTTTCAAATCTTGAAAAACTTGAAAAAATGAAAAAGAAAATTGTGATCTTTTCTATATCAAATATGAGTTATTTATAACTTGAAAATTGGCCTACAATATTTTTCTGTGTGATAGCATGTTCCAAGAAAATTCATGTAAAAAAGGGTTAAGCTATTGCTCTAAAGTTTACATGAGGTCGCGAAAAAAAATAAATTGTACATTATAACTTACTGTATTCGATGTATTGTGATAAATATTGTTGTAATTCTATGTTATGAAAATATGTGTATAGAAAGAATATTGGTAAAATATAATTGATAGAACTTAAATATTCTTATTTATTTGTAATCATTCGGGATAGCCATATTTTACCCACATTGAAAAAACCGAACAATTTTTTTTACAACATACAATTTTGATAATGAATAATTATTCTACATTAAAAAATAACTGTTTTTTCTCTTTAGAGTTTTTTTATACAATGCATAGTTTCCGAGATAATGAAAGATGAAAAAAAGGGAATTATTTTACAAAAAAAGTTGTAACTTTTAATCGGCTTAATAAAAATGGACCCTGTTCCGCTCTTTTTAAAGATAACAGAAATATACAACTTTTACACTTCCGATTTTTAAAATTTGCTGAACCGTTCAAAAGTTATAACCGATTAAATGTAAAAAAATTAAAAAAAAAAAGTAATTTGTTTTTTTATCTTAAAAAACACAATTTTTAATTTAATAATAAAATACCGGAGGCTTATGAAGGGAATTGCTTTACTCTTCAAAATGAGCGTACGTGCGTTTTTCTACGACCATTTTAGACGGAGCTGCAAAACTTTAAATTTTAAACATTTTCTTTTGCCAGAAATTTATGTACGCCACTATTTGCAATAACATTGAATACACCTCGAAGGTTATCTTTATACTCATCCTACGATCTTTAGTGAACATTTAGTTACTTACTTACATGTAAATTCGCTAAGAAATTAAAGAACTTAGGTTATTTAGGATAGTCGGTTTTGATGTTTTTATCGTATATTATAAAAAAATAAGATGCTTTCGAAGCGCTTTGGACAGTGATATTTTGTAGAATTTAATAGTTATTTTTTTTCTTTTTGTCAAAATCGGGAGCTTTGTTATTCTTAATATTATTAATAATTTGTAGTATTTCCTTTATTTTAATCGATTTGATTAGCGTACTGTCTTGGACGTCAGAGCCTTCTAGTAACATTTTTTCTTCTTCGTTGGTGATTATTCTTTGGTGAAGTTTGAATACTGTGTTAAGATGATTTGCGAACGTTTCAGCTTTTCCCGCGTCCGATCTTGCCTAATTACTAGCAGGTTTTTTGATAGACGGTATAAATGTAGTTGGTCTTTTAAGTTGTTTGGTAGTTTCCCATAATGAGTAATTTGTGGCTTTTGTAGGACTTAGTTATTTAAGATAATTCTACTTTTGTATTTTTTTTCGTATAACATTTACTTTATTTTTTTTGATTTGCTGTATTTTATTTCTATTTATTGTACTAGAGCATTTGTTAATAGTTTCAGTTAGAATTACGTTGAGTCAGTTGATGCTGGTTTCTACATTATTAGCTGTTTTAAGAGGAACGTTGCAGGTTGTGCGTTCTTCTATGTAAAGAGTAAATTTTTTCTAGTTAACTTTAATGTTATTGTTTACTTTATTAAAAACTTGGTGATATTAGAATAATCAGTATAACGAATGATCTAATGATATATCTAAGCACAATAACACTTCAAAATAATTTTTGTTTATACCTTTTACTATAGTAAAGTCAATCAAATCCAGAAGCTTGTTTATATCTGTATTTTATAGTCTGCATCTGTATATTGGAGATGATGGTCGTGATCCACACCATGGATGTTTCGCATTATAATCGCCTCCCGCTATAAAACGTTTTTCTAGTTAGTGAAAAAAATATATCCAATTTTCTTTTGTTATTGTTCTGTTTGGAGAATAGTAAGCAGCTGATTATCAGACTTTTGTTGTCTTTGATGATTACACTGGTTGCTTGTAGATTTATTTCACTAGTATGTGCATGAACGTAGTGATTTATTTTTATTTTGATGATAATTGCATTATTTCCGTATGCTATATCGAATTCATGATTTGTTTCATGTACTAGGTAGTTTGGGATATTTGATTAGTTTTTGCCTGTGAAGTGTGTTTCTGAAATTAACATAATATCGATGTTTTCATACGTTAAGAATGCTCGTAATTTTTTATGCCTCTGCATAAGACCATTTGTGTTTAAGATTGCAATTTTCAGGCTTTCCATTATGCTATTTTATCGACTAATATTGTTAAAAAATTCAGCATTTTATCCATTCTTTGCATTAACTGTTCTATCATGCGTTCAAGTTTATTATTATTTTGGTCGTTTGAGTGATTGCTTGGGTCTGTCAGTATAGTTGTTTTTTTTTGTATTTCTGACTCTTTGGTCGTTTTATTTTTACATTACCTGAGCATAGGATGTGTTTGATCTGATTCTATTGGTAATGACTTTTAAATTTGAGTTTGACTTACTTGTTTATTATTTTGATTGGGTGTTTTTTGTCGTAGTCTAGGGAATAATTTTAACTGTGGCTATTTATGAATTGGATATTCTTTATACTTTGCCGTGTGATTTTCTTGGCAATTTGCACAGATTACTTTTATTTTTTTTTAATGTGACACTCTTTACTTAAATAGTGTTTAGTATGTCACATATACAGCACTCTTAAAACAATAGTTTTTTGAGTTCGAATTCTGGGCAGTTATGATGCTGTGGTATTAACGTTTGGTGGTTCGAAATTGATTACTGAATTTAGGAACCTGTTGTAGATTTCTTGGCTTTTAAAATTGTATTGTGTTTCAATCATAAATAGTGGAATTTACGAAATTCGATGTCAAATGTTGCGGATGCTTAGCACTTTATGTCTGTGTTCCTCTATGTCAGATTTTAATTCTTCTATATCTACTGAAGGGTGCATGCTTCTTAAAATTACTTTTCAGTTCTTTTTCTTCTTTGCGTTGATACATGCACAACTGTGTGTGTTTTTCCTTTAGATCGCTAATGATTGTTAAGTACTTTTCAGATATTGACGGTTGTATTTTAATTTTGTTTTGTCCCATTAGCTTTAGTGTGTAGTTGTCTTTTGCTATTTCATTAATACGAGTAGATTCTCTAATAGACGAATATCCTCTGTATTGTAGACGAAAACCGGAGGTGATTTTATTTTAATCGAGTTTATATCATTGCTGACTGTGTTATCGTTTTTGCTTTGGTTTTCTTTATTTTCTTGTAGTAGCCCTTATTACTTATATTACTTAGCCAATAGTCCGATAATTGGGTTTGTCGTTTTCTGTTTTGCGTTTGGTTTTCTGAGCTGTTTCTTTATCTTTTGTCTTATGATTTTCCAGTTTTCGTTTTTCTTAACAGGAGCAGTCTTGTCATCTCCCAACTTAGGAGCCATTTTTTTGAATTTAATTGTTATTTTACTTGATTGGTTAATACTTTAGCTTTTTGGATAGAGCGCCGTGTTAGCACGTCTGCACACCGCAGTAATCGAACGCTGACTGAAAAAGTCAATTAATTAAAAAAATGTCATCAGAACGACCACATAAAATGTTCAATGAGCAAATTTGCATGAAAAGTCATCGGTTTTACTTTGACAAAAGATCATACACTCGTTAAAAAAGGTGGTGGAAAAACAAACATCAATGTTTCACGAATTTAGCCAATATCTATAAGGATGGGTGGATCTTTGCCCTTCCTCACGCCGCTTTTCACAGGTTTGAGTGCAAACGCTGGTCTAGCTTATGGAACTGTGGGAATCACAATAGCTATAAATGATGCAAGATCTCCAAAGAAACAGTTAGTAAAGAGCAAGAGATACAAGAATGTAAGCTATTGCTCTAGAAAAAGGTTTATATTTGGAACTTTATAATATAAGTTACGGACTTTTTCACAAAACTTACTTAGGATCAGGTGTACAAATATTTTTAAAGTAAATATATTAGATAAAGTCTTCACCTCGACTTGGTAAAGT